TCCCTCCCCCTCCCCCAGTCAAGTCCCCCTCCCTTGTCAGCCCAAAGAGCAATCAGGGTTCCCTGCCCTGTGGGAAGTCCAAGGACCACCCACCTCCATCCAGGTCTAGTAAGGTGAGCATCCAAACTGCCTAGGCTCCCACAAAGCCAATACGTGCAGTAGGCTCAAAAACCCATTGCCATTGTTCTTGAGGTCTCAGTAGCCCTCATTGTCTGCTATGTTCAGCGAGACCGGTTTTATCCCGGGCTTTTTTCAGACTCAAACCCAGGCCAGCTGGCCTTGGTGAGTTCCCGATAGAACATCCCCATTGTCTCAGTATGTGGGTGCACCCCTCGCGGTCCTGAGTTCCTTGCTCGTGCTCTCTCTCCTTCTGCTCCTGATTTGGACCTTGAGATTTCAGTCCGGTGCTCCAATGTGGGTCTCTGTCTCAGGACAGAGCTTCTTAACACAGTTGTGTCGGGTACATGATTATTTCAACAGGAAACATGGCATTATGGTTCCGGTATTGCAAACTCATAGAGGCAGGAAATCTAATTTTCCTATAAACGGTTAGAGCAACTTCTTTTTTCCCCTCTTCTTCCCTCTTTTTATCCAATTAGTGTTTTCAAGGCCGAGCTCTGCGCATGACTAGGAAACTTTCAAAAGCAGCATGGATATAATTTCTCCACTCCTGGAGTGGGGAGACAATTACATAAATACAGTTATACACTGTGACAAATTCCTGGACGAGAAAGTACAAACTGCCAAGTTACAGGGTGGCACACCAGGGTAGGGCTCTTTGAGGAAATGGCAGTTTCAGAACTCAGACAGTTACATCTATTGAAGGGCTTTGAACTGTAATGTAAAGTTATTTAACTGGTACCACAAGACTGTCTTTACTATAAGGACAGTAGTTTGGAACAGATTCAGGGAGAATGAGTAGGAAACTCTCGGGGTGTGTAAGCAGCGTGGTCATGGAGGTAGAGATGTTGGGTGTAACAACTATGTTACTAGCTGGAACAAGCAGACTTGGTGTTCCAGTGACTACACTGGTCAGATGATGTGGTCAGGGAGAGCCTGTAGGTTTCTGGCTGAACAGTTAGGCAAATGTTAGCATCATTTGGTGAGTGGGACAGGTCAGAGGAGAGTCGTGCTTTCAGGAAAGGAGGGAGATCCATTTAGATATGTTGAGAGTCCTATACCCATGGCTTTGGATTTGAAAAAACACCAGTCAAATTAGATAAATAAGCATGGAAGTAGCATATATTAAGAACAGAAAACATTTAAAGTCACTAAGAGTCATGAGTTAGCCTAAATGAGGAAGAGAAGGGTCAGAGAGAGAAGCCTGCAGACTTCTGATATTAGAAAGGAAGAGCCAGGAAAAGACACTGAGAACCAGGAGAAAATCCCAGAGGAGTGGTACCATGGAAGTCAGAGAATATTTGAGGGGAGGGAGTGTCTCAGTTGGTAAAATGCTGCTCACTAAGCAGAATTCAGATGCTCAGGATCCGTGTAAAGGGTGGGTGTGCCGGGGTATGCCTGTAGCCCTGGTCTTGGGAGACAGCATGGGGACTGGGAGATCCCCAGAGCTCATTGACCAACCATCCTGGCTGAATCCATGGGCGTCAGGTCCAGTGAGAGACCCTGTCTTCAAAACTAACAGTGGGTGAGACTGGTGAGATGTCTCATTGGGTAAAAAGGTGCTGTGGCAAAGCCTAACGATCTGAGTTTGGTATCAGGATCCATCAATGGTAAAAGAGAATAACCAATTCCACAAGGTTATCTGATTTCCACACTTGCGCCATGACATGCCCAACACACATATATACACTAATAGTAATATTTTTAATTTTAATTTTTTATATGTGTGTTATATCTACATCATTTCCTCCTTCCTTCTCCTTCCTTCAACACTGTCCACATACCCTACTCCCTCTCAAATCATGCTTCTTTTTCTTTATTACTATGCACATATATGTATATATAAGAATGAATGTATAATATAACCTTGCTGAATCCATTTAGTATTGTTCATGTGTATATATTTTGTTTTGGGTTTTTTTTGAGACAGTTTCTTTGTAGCTTATGAGCCTGTCCTGAAACTCATTCCATAGACCAGGCTGGCCTCGAACTCACAGAGATCTGTCTGACTCTGCCTCCCAAGTGCTGGGATTAAAGGCGTGTGCCACCACCACCCAGCTTGTACGTGTTTCTAATGTTGATCACTTGACACTGGGTAACCAAACGGGGGCCTCATCCCTGGGGAAGACCAATTCTCCCTCTCTCAGTAGTTAGTAATCACCTCTAGGTCTTCATCTGGCGTGGATCCCCTTGAGCTTTCCCCTGTCACCATGTCACCAGTGTCAACAGGTATCACTGTTTAGGTCTTGTTTAGTTATACTTACTATTGCTGTGATGAAACACCATGACCAAAGCATGGGGAGGAAAAGGTTGTTTGGCTTACTTTTCCATGCCGCTGCTCATCATCAAGGGAAGGACAGGAACCCAAACAATGCCAGAACCTGGAGGCAGGAGCTGATACAGAGGCCATGGCTTGCTCCCCATGGCTTGCTCAGCCTGCTTTATTATAGAGCCCAGAGACACCAAACCAGGAATATCCCCAAGCACAATGGGCTGGGCTCTTGTCCATCAATCACTAATTAAGAAAGTGCCCTACATACAGACTTGTCTACAGCCTGATCTTATGAAGGCATTTTCTCAATCGAGTTTCCTGTCTCTCAGATGACTATAGGCTGTGTCAAGTTAACATAAAACTAGCCAGGACAGTAGCTATAACAGAAAAAAAATTTAAGTAATAAATAAAGGTGGAGAGAAATTGAGGGAATATATCCAATATTGATCTCAGGCTTCTGCAGCTGCGCACACATGTGCACACATCTATGCATGTGGACACATGAGAGAGAGGGGGGATATTGGGAGGAGAAAGTGGCTGCTAACTTTTGAACTGTATTGAGATCTCTAGAAAATTATAACACCACAAAAGGCTCATTATTTGGCAATATGGAAATCACAAGCGTTGGGGAAGAATATTTGGAGGTGAAGAAGGTTTGGAGAGGAAAAGCTGGTGAGCAAGGGTGAAATGTGGAGGGAGGGGAAGGACATAGTTTTCATTGAGAGTGGTGACTTCTGCCATGCAGCTGGCCCATGCCAGCTTACCTCAAATGGCATGCATTGGTCCAGTTCCCCCACTCCCACTTTTCTTCTGCATTCTTTTCTTCTAGGCAGCTGTGAGATTTACACCTTGCCTGCCCTGGGGTTTTTCTAAAGAAAAAAAAAAACTGATTGTTCAAGAACCTAAGGAAACAATGGTGAGGGGCTTGGAGGTACACCTCAGATTGTACAGTGTTAGTTAGCCCAGAGTTTAATTCTCCGAACTGCAAAAAAGAAAAAAAATTGATATGCGATGAGTCTTAAACACCAAAAAGATACTGTTGAGGTGTGGGGGCATGAGTCTGA